TATATTGTTGAATTCTATTGGTTAATATTTCGTTGAGGATTTTGCATCTATATTCACAAGAGATATTGATCGATAGTGGGGGTTTTTTGTACTGTGTTTATATGGTTTTGGTATTAGGCTAATACTAGCTTTACAGAATAAGCTGGGGAATGTTTACTCCTTTAATATTTTCCAGATTTTATGTGGAATTTATGTTAATTCTTTGAATTTTGGTAGCATTCTCCAGTAGAACTATGTGGGCCTGTAAATTTTCTTGGTGGGAGGAGGGTGTTGTTGATTTTTAAAACTACAGACAGACTCCATTTTTTAAAACAGTGATAAGGCTATTCAAATGATCTACTTCATATTGGGTGAGTTGTGGTAGTTGTTGTTTGCTATATTCTGTTATTATCTTTTTAATGTCTCCAGGGTCTGTAGTGATTCCCCTTCTTAATTGCTTGATAGTGCTAATTTGTGTCTTCTTTCTTTCTTTTTTTTTCAATCTTACTAGAGATTTGTCCATTTTGTTGATATTTTCAAAAAACTGGCTGGCTCTTTTCATGTTTACCTCTTGTTTTTCTTTTCTCAACTTCATTGTTTAGTGCTCTTTGTTATATTTTTCCTTCTCTTTACTTTGGGTATTTTACTAATACCCAAATATTTTGGGTATTATTTTACTAATATTGGGTAATATTTTACTAATCTTTTTCTAGGTGCTTGACATAGGAGCTTAGATTACTGATTTGAGATTTTCCCTCTTTTGTAACATAGGTATTTACTATATAAATATCCTCTCATATTGCTTTAGGTAATGTCCTATAAATTTTGATATGTTGTATTTTTATTTTCAATTACTTAAAACATTTTCTTTGAGATTTCTTTGAATCACTGATTATTTAGAAGTATGTTGTTTAGTCCTTATACTATACCCAATGCATTAACAGTGGTGCAAGACAGAAGCCAGCAGAATAACAGAGCTCCCTGAATGCAATGGGAGGTCGGCACTGTGGAGTTACTCCCACAAATCAGGAAGTGACTGCCAGTGACTCTTCCCAACATGGGAATCACCAATAGCCTTTGGTCCCAGATCCTCCCAGAAAGATTAGGACCCCACATCTTTCTTCCTTCCATCCTCATATACCATCCGATTTTCTTAGAAAGGAATGTCAAGGAAGCTGGCAGAAACCTAATAAAGGTCTCTGAAAACTGTGTTTCTCCATTTGAAAAATAAACCATGTCTTTAAATGCACTAACTTATGGGGAAATACATGCAATGAACGAAAATCAATCTTTACCCCTCCCACCCTCCAAAAGTGTGTTGTTTAGTTTACAAATGTGTGAAAATATTCCTATTACGGTATCTTTCTGGTATTTTGATTTTTTAATTCCATTTTGGTAGAAGAATACACTCTGCATACAATTTCAATTCTTTTAAATTCTTTTGTTCAAGTATAAGGCCTTCACTTGAAAAGAATGTGTACTCCGTTATTTTGGGGTGGAGTGTTCTATAAATGTTGATTGGATTCTCTTGGTTAATGGTGTTGAGTTCTATATTCTTGCTGATTTCCTTCCAATTGCTCTATCAGTTACCAAGGGAGAGGGGTTTGAAGTCTACAACTATAATTGTAGATTTGTGTATTTATTCTTTCAGTTCTTTCAGCTTTTGCCTCATGTATTTTGGAGCTCTGTTGTTTGATGCATACATGTTTAGAACTGCTATGTCTTCTTAGTGAATAGACCCTTTTATCAGTATATAATATCCCTCTCGATCTCTGGTAATTTCCTTTGTTCTGAAGTCTGCTTTAGCTGATGTGATAGCCACTTCTACTTTCCTTTTATTAATGTTCACATAATATATCTTTTCCCATTATTTTACTTTCAACTTGTCCATATCATTATATTTGACATGAGTTTCTTGTACACAGCATGTAAATGGGTAATATTTAAAGGAAGGGAAGGAGCAAGTCAAGGAACATATAGCAAGAACTCATGGACAAAGCCAAAGTGGGGAAAGATTGAGGGAGGGAGAGGAAAGAGGAGGGAGGGGAAAGCGGTGGGGGGAAGGCGGAGACAAATGTATTTGAAAAAATTAATTAATTTTAAAAAATTTAAAATAAATAAATAAATAAAATTCACTCTGCCAAGCTCTGTCTTTTAATTGGAATTTAAGCTTTTTACATTTAATGTAGCTATTGATGTGCTAGGGTCTAAGATTGCTATTTTATGTTTACTCTGTGTTTAGACTATTTTTATTTCTCTGCTTTCTTTTTACCTGCTTTCCTTTAGGTAATTTAAATATAGAAATCCATTTTGATTTTTTTTTTGACTGATGTATTTGATGCATTTAGAGTGAATCTTTTCCCATATATATTCCACAGTTTACTGGTGTCATTATTTTACTAGCTTGACTAAAGTATATACACTTTACCTCCCTACATCCTTCTTGTTTATAGTTGTCTTATATATTTCCTCTACATATATTTAGAACCACATCAGTTGCATCACCTGACAATAATAATTCATAAACATAAAAAGAAAGCCTATTATATTTACCCAAATTTGTTTACTATGTTATTTTCAGATGTTCCAATGTTTATTCTTTTATCATTTCCTTTTTGTTTAGAGACTTCCTTTAGTCACTCTTTTAAGGTAGCTTTGCTAGTGACAAATTCTCTGTTTTTCTTTATCTTGAGGATATCTGGATTTCCCCTTCATTTCTGAAGGATATTTTCAGTGGGTATGGGATACTGGATTGACAGTTCTTTTCTTTCAGTACCAGAAAACACTGCGCAACTTCCTGCTGGCTGGTGTCTGATCAGAAATCCACTGTCATTCTAATTGCTTTTTCCCAATGGTTAAGGTGCTCTTTTTCTCTGGCTGCACTTAAGACTTTCTTGTCTTTAGTTTTCAGAAGTTCACTTATGATGTGTCTTGATATGACTTTCCTTAGGTTTATCTTGTTTGGAGTTTTCTCAGCTTCTTGAATCTGCACGCTTTTGTTTCTTCCCAAGTTTGGGAAGTTTTCAGCCTTTTTTTTTTCAGCCTCACTTTCTTTTTCTGTCCTTCTAGGACTCCATGAAACAAATGTGAGATCTTTTGTTGTAACCTAACAGATCCCTGGGGCTCTGTGTTTTTCGGTTTATTTTCTATTGTTCAGATTCAGTGATTTCTATTCTACTATTCAGCTCACTAATTCTCTCCTCTGTCTTTAGTCTTCCATTGAGCATATCTAATGAGTTTTTAATATTGGTTATTGTATTTTTCAATACAATAAAATATTTCCTTTGGTTCTTCTTTATATTTTTTATCATTTGCTAAGGCTTTCAAATTTCTTCATTTTTTACAGAGAGGGAAAGGGAGGTAGGAAGAGAGGGAGAGAAACATTGATGTGAGAGAGAAACATCAATCAGTTGCCTCTAGCATGCATCCTGACCAGGGGTCAAACCCACAAGCCAGGCACGTGCCCTGACTGGGAATCAAACTGATGACCTTTCACTTTGTGGTCTGATGCCCAACAAACTGAGCCAAACTGGCCAGGGCAGGCTTCCAATTTCTTTATTTGTTTCAAGCATATTTGAAATTACTGCTGAAGCATGGCTTCTTTAAAATGTTTGTCAGATAATTTTAACATAACTTATGTTAGTGTTGGCATCTATTGACTGTCTTTTTTCATTTATTTTGTGATCTTCCTGGTTCTTGGTATGATGAGTGAATTTCTATTGAAACCTGGACAATTTTATGTCATGTTATGAAACTCTGGATCTTTTTAAAGCCTTCTATATAGCTGTTCCTGTTATACCTCTGTGGCAGGGGAAATGGGGGTGGGGGGATGCCACCTTGTTACAGGCAGATGCAGGTAGATGTTCAAGTTCTCACTCAGCCTTCATTGATACCCAACCATTGGCTCCCTTTGACTGCTGGTTGTAGGGTGGGAATCTATTTTTCCAAGTGGTCTCTGCTGACACTATTGGGGTTGGGAGGCTTATTTTCAGCTGATAATAAGAAAGTCCAGGCTCCCTACTTGGCCATCCCTGACAACACCCTGGTGCAGTGCTACAGCCTACTAAGGGTGGACACCCAGGCTTCTCATTCAGCCTTTGCTGGCCTTGGTGATGGTGGTACCACAGTTTTTCTGTGGTGGTTGGCTGTAATAAAGCAGTTATTGTTTAAATGTGTTCTTCTTACCAGGCTTCTCTTTTCCTAGTGCTTTAATTAGAGAGAACAAGCCTTTGTTGGAGCTATTTTTGTTATTGCAGGAATTTGGATTCCTGAACTCTTCAGCTCCATGTTTTGGATGATGAGGCAAAAGAAAACCCAAGGAACTCACCATTGTAGCATTGCTCCAGTCCTGAGGTCCTGAGCTGTCTTTTTTTCTCCACTTTCCAGCATCCTCTTATGTTTGCTTTATACATAGTGCCAGGGGCTTTAGCACTACTGACCTGGAAAAATAGGGAAAAACATACCTAGTCCACCTTCCAAAAGTGTGAAATATGTCATTTTTTTTAAGTGAGTCTAATGTATAGCAAAGTCTGAAAACCACTGAGCTGGCAGTGACTTTGCTCAGATAACACAAAATTTGGGTTGTCTTTGAGAGCACCTTTCACAAAAGTGACTACTGTTCCCATAAAAGGACCATGGTACTATGCCTCTGACCTCCTTCCCAGAGCAGGTCCAAGTAAGGCAGAGTTACTCAACTAAGGGTAGCCTATATTGAAGGCTTTAGTGATTGCTGAAAACAGTCTTTAGGGGATTACTATTAATATAAAAGTCAATATGGTTATGGTAGTAATTTTCCTAGGAGGAGAAAGGTCATTAGTGGGATTAGGGTTTATGGAGAGACTTCTCATGTGGCTGCCGAAGTCCTAGACATTGTTCACCTTAAGCTATGCATTTATTTTGAAGTGGTTTTCTACATCTGTGTTTTATTTTACAATTTTTTAAAGGTTTTTAAAATAATTTTAATGATGTTGGGCTTCTGTTGACTGCATCTGCAACATCTAACTGGTCCTTTATATCCTCAGGTCTCAGCCCCACGGAGCTGCCCTTTGATTGCCTTGAGAAAACTAGCCGAATGCTCAGCTCAACATACAACTCTGAGAAGGCTGTTGTGAAAACATGGCGCCACCTCGCTGAGAGCTTTGGACTAAAAAGAGATGAAATTGGAGGCATGACAGATGGCATGCAGCTCTTTGATCGTATCAGCACAGCAGGTTACAGCATCCCAGAGCTGCTCACAAAACTGGTACAGATCGAAAGGCTGGATGCTGTGGAGTCCTTGTGTGCAGACATACTGGAGTGGGCTGGGGTCATGCCACCTGTCTCCCAGCTACCTACTACATCCTGAAGAAAATGCCTGTGGATTGTCCTTCTTGGCATGTGCCAAGGGTATAATCAGGGCTCTGCAGCTGTAGGTGGTGCCAACAGACTGCCAAGAATGAAGGCTTTTTGTGCTATGTCACCAGGTTATACCTGAGGCCAGCAGTCCCCAACCTTTTGGCACCAGGGACCAGTTTTGTGGAAGACAATTTTTCCATGGACTGGGGTGAGGGGGATGGTTTCAGGATGATTCAGGCTCATTACATTCAAGCTCACCTCCTGTTGTGTGGCCCCGTTCCTAACAGGCCCAGACTGGTACTGGTCCACGGCCTGGAGGTTAGGGACCCCTGCCTTAGGCTATTTGAAGGAAGAAGGGGAAATGAGGTGTCTCTTCCAATCTAACTAAAGATAAGAGATTAAAGCTAGGATACTGCCAGCTACCCATCTGCACCTCACCAGCTAGAGTAAATATTTATTCAGCCAACGAGTCCCTTGATTAACTCATTCAAGGGATATTTTGGGGCACTCAATGAGCCAAAAAATGTGGGAATGACAAAGGTGAAGAATCTGGTCCCTGTTTAAAGAGTTTACATCCCAGTGAAAGAAGACATGCCACTTTTCTAGAAGATAAAAAACAATCTAAGAAAATGGAATGAAAGTCCGGAGAGAGGGAGATGGTTTCTCGCTGAAGTGGTGAAGGAGTCATCCTCATGAAGAAAACAGCTTGAAAGTTTGGTAAAATGGCTGCAAAATGCAGACACCCCACTACATGCATTGTTTCAGGTTCAGTACAAGTGATGTCATTAGGATAAATTTGCCTATTCTTGAGGTCATTATGTTTTTACAGCCCTTCTAGTCACTAATGGAAGAGCTCACCCTGTAGCCTGTTTTATGTCACTGATATGCAAGGCATGCATTTGTCCAGTCGAGAAGACCTATGCATAGAATAGCTATGCAGTAGTCAGTTTCACTTACTGCATGGGTCCTAGGCCTGGGGACCCAATTGTTTTTTTTTTTTTATTACATATTAATTGCATTCCAACTCTCATTCTCAGTCATATTTGACTCTTTGGGGTCAGCATTTAAATTGTGTGTCAAGCTCTTTTGCTTTGAAGAGAAATGGGTGGTCACCTCTGCTTAGAAAGGGAAATGATGACTTCCTAAGAGTTCAGCCACACATAACTTTAGATTTCCAGAGTGTTGAAACTTGTGAATGAGCCACATAGCATGAGAGTTTTAGGGTCTGGCCTTCTAAGCCAGTCAGGGAAAGTGGAGCCCCCTATGGAGGGGGAGGCTGGACTTGAAGTCCAGCGACCGGGTTCTAGTTGTGCCAAACTGGGCCATTTTCTTCACCCTCCCTAGGCTTCACTTTGTCATCTGCAAATGAGAGGTTAGTCTGTCATTCTATAATCACAGGAAAAGTAAGGTTCAATGAGCAAAAAGAAAGTGGAGCTATAGGAAATGCCAGCCCTTGGGAGTGTTCCATGGAAGTGACTACCGTGTTAGTCATTAAGTAAAATGGGAATTAAAAAAAAAAAATCCCTCAGATTTCAAGCTTTCACAGTAACTGCAATTGTTTGGGATACATTCAGAAATGAAGTTAATAAACTGGCATTCTTCTTGGCAGATTCTCTTACTACCTTTGCCATTGCCAGAACTAGTGAGCCAGGGTAATGATCACACTGGGGGTTAGTGTGGTGCTCTCTGCTGAGCTCCCTAATGACAGGTCTCACTGTAGCAATTACTAAATTAAAATCATCCTCTCACTTATAAAGCAATGTGTTTTAAAATTACAAGTTGCACGACTGAGCAAATGCTTTGAGGGGGGAAATCAGTGATATTTAAAGCCAATAAGCAATTTCCCAGAAATGAATGTAAAATATACTGTGATAGAATCATAATGAATATTTGATTTCATCATATACCACTGCCTGCTGCTGTTTGTCAGAAGCTATTTGATATATCCTGCAAGCTAAATACACTGCAGCAAAACTTAATTACACTTTTTAATTCCCCCTGAAATCCTGGGTGCCCCTTTCCCCTGCTTGTGATAATGATAATGAGAGTCTCCCCCTTAGAGTGCAAATGTCACATGTGAGGAGCATGCATTTCCAGAATAATAGCTTACAGCTTCCTTGGAACAACATTTCAATAAAGGAGCAAGGGTGGCTGTTTCTCTGGCCCCCCTCGTTGGGAGATGAAGGGAGTGCACTCAGTTCACACTGTTGAATTCTGGGGCCAGAGATCAACCATCAGATCATGTTTTATTGACTCCCATCCTACCATTTTTAGAGAGCTAGTTACACCTTTCTTTGTCATTTACTCATTTGGAGACAAATCCAAAAACAAAGGTTTACTATAGTAAGTTTTATCCTATACACAAAATTCAAATCAATGAGGCCATAATGATTATTACTGACCAAAGCCAGGACTCCACCCTGACCTTTTGTATGAAGACAGTCATTATTTTGTTATACTTAAAAATATTTAGAAAACGCCCCCGGTTAGAGCTGTGGCCCGTAGCCAATGAAGTCTTGTCATTTTTTTTTTGTCTAATTCTATATATATAACTTATTATATGTTACAGTTTCAATTAACAAACTAATAAAAAAGAGATCCACAGACTGCTACAATGTGAGCTCTTTGGGAGGGGAAGGTAGGGGACTGGAAAAAGTTCTGATTGCTCTGTTCCTGGTTATTGCACTATGTATGATGAGACTATAAGATTAGGACCAGCCAGATATGAAATACCTAAAATGTTATGGCCTGGGCCATTCACTCAACAGAAGCAAGCATTACAATGAGATCATGTAAAAAAAAAAATACTTGGAACATTACTTTCCAAGTTGCCATCATTTGTTTATAAGGCATTGATTCACTTAGCTACTGCTATGTAGCATACTGCCCTAACATCATTCAGTGGCTTAAGCCAACAACCATTTGATTATTACAACTCAGGGGTCAGTGAGGGTCCTAGCTGACCTAGGTTGGGCTAAGTTGGTTGTGGCTCGGCTGCGGCTTCTGTCAGCTGGAATACTTTAACTGGAATAGCTCTATTCCATTTTCACTCCTCCTCCTCCCCAAACAGTCATCTAGCCCAGGCCTTCATCATGGCAGTGACAGGACCGCAAAAATGAGGAGTGACAGAAAGTTTCTTCAGGCCTAGCCTCAGAACTGGCACACCATCACTTCTAGCTCATTCTATTGGCCAAAACAAATCCCATGGCTAACCCAGGGTCCAGGGTGGGGAACGACTCCACTCTATCTCTATGAAGAACTGCAAAGTCAAAGAGTGAAAGGTAATAAATTGGGACAGATAATGCAAATATCCACAGCTATATTAGTTTCCAACAGCTGCTGTACCAAATTACTACAAACCTACTGATTTAAGAAACACAGATTTATGATCTTGTTGGTCTGGAGGTCAGAACTCCTAAAATCAAGTTTTCAGCAGGATTGTGTTCCTAATGGAGACTTCGGAAAGAAATCAGTTTCCTTGCCCTTTCTAATTTACAAATTCCACCCATATTCCTTAGGTCATGGCTCTTTTCTATCTTCCAAGCCAGCAATCACATTGCTTTGACCTCTGCTTCCATCACCACACCTCCTTCTCCACCTCTCACCCTTCTGCTTTCCTCTTTCCCTTATGAGGATTATAATCCAGGATAACCTTACCATTTCAAAATCCTTAATTTAATCACAACTACAAAGTTCCTTTGCTATATAAGGCCCCATATTCACAGCTTCTGGGGATTAGGAGATAGACCTCTTGGAGGGATCATTGTTCTGCCAACTACAGCAAGTGTGTAAGAAATAGTGGAATATGACAATGTAACACCACAGAGGAAGCACTAACAAAGCAAGCTTTCCAGCTGGGTCTATCCTCTTGTGGGGCAAAAATGTAAACTGAGCATTGGCAGAGGACTAAGAGAAATGGACTGGTCTGCAGGTGCTCAGTATTTCCCCTTCGCTGAATCTCCTTCCTCCACTTCTATCCTCAGTGGTCCAGAACAAATGTGGCAGAGTCACATGAATCCCCAGTTTGAAAAGGAGGACATTCTTTTATCCAAGACTTTGCAAAAAAATTTCTAGTGAATCATTCACTTTGGTAACAATGATGGCTTCAGACACTTAAAAGAGCTATTGACTTTGTGTAGAACCAATAGCTAAGGTGTATGAGGTCTTCCCAGAAGGTATCCATCAGTGTAATATGAAAAATACGGACATTTATTGAAGATACAAGAAACATTGTACATAGGGCTATAAGAACTCTGTTCCCTTCAAAGTAGTCAACTTGGGACCTCACACAGTTCTCCCAGTCACCTTCAGCTGTCCCATCATATTTTCCTAAATCTCATTGATGATCTGAAATCTCCCCCCTTTCAAAGGTGATTTTAGTTTTGGGAGAGCCAGAAGTTGCACAGAGCCAAACCTGGGCTGTAGCAGGGCTGAGTCACCTGGGTGATTTGATGTTTCGCTAAAAAACTGCGTGAGACATGACACACAAGTGGGTGTTTTGTCATGATGAAGTTGCCAATCACCAGATGCCCATAGCTGTAGCCTTCTGAATCATCTGGATAGTTTCCATGATGTTCAAGTATAATGCAAAATTTGATGCAGATTTGTTGCGCTTTTCACTCAGTCATTTGAGTATTCTGCCTTCTCCTGCAGCTGTGGAGAGCCTGGTCAGAGAAGGCAGTTTTGCAGCTCGCTCCCCTCTTGAAGGAAATGACCAGAACTGGGCCAGGAGTGACTAGGATATACAAAGTTGGGGAGATCCAGGCTACACACACATATACTGCAAGAAGTATGCCCAGAGATGCACCAGCCAACACCAACTAGGAGAGTGCCACAGAGAAAGGTCACTATCTACACCTGGGTGGAGTGAAGTAGGCTGGCCACAGTCAGCCATCACCACAAGAGACTCTTGACTTTTTGGAGAGGTGGCACATACAGAAACCCAGACAGTGCTATAGTGTGAGTGCCCAGAGAGACTACTTAAAAGGAGACCCAAGGTATACTGTGCAAGGAAAGGATCAAGGGTGCAGTTTGCTCCGACTCAGTGCAGCTGGGCAGATTGATCAGAAGAGTTCAGAACAAGAGAATTTCTTGGCCCATCCCAGCTCAGCTGGCAGGGTAGAGGCTGTGCAGAGTGGAAAGTGCAGGACTGTCTGCTGTGAGGGCAGTGGGCTGGGAACTGGAAAGATGGGAGCTGTGCACCTGAGATCATTTAAAGCCAGACAGAGCCCCCTTCCCTGTAAGAGATCAAACCTCTGGGAAAGGAACGTTGCACCCAGCCCACACTTCCTGCAGCAGCAGGGAAGATCTGCAAAACAGGCAAGTCAGGCTCAAAAACACTTCAGGGTGCATTTCTGTAAGAGAAAGTCATCAAGAAGAATACCTAAATGGCCAATTTTGAAATTCTCTCAGGG